GGGGGGAACGCGGAGGGGGGGCACCGATCGTTACCCCATACAAGCAATCCGCCGGCTGACAGGGGGCATGTCTGAGCGGACGTCTAAAGACGCCCGCTCAGATCTAGAGAGCTCCCGGCCGGCCGTTTTTTTACTACGGCTGGCCCGGAGGTAGTTAAAGAAAAAAGTTAACTCAAAGTACATTGGTTTGATTCTACTAAAACCCAAAAAATACTGACTGTAAATGTGCAAGCACACTTATACTGAACAATTTTAGGAATTAGATTGAAGATCAAAACCTAGAATATGGCTGTTCCTTGCACTGGAACATGGGCCATTGGAATTTGGGGAAAGCTTTTGGTATTGTACTACAAGTACAGCAAACTCTAAAATGTTCCTGGCCAAGTCCAGCTTAGCACACCACACTTTCAGCTAACAGAGTGCTGATATGACATAAGATTCTTGGTGTGACAGAATTATTAACCTAAGCCTGCAGGACTGTGCCTATCAACAAATAGATTTTCTATCTAGAAAGAGGTTGCAAACTGTTCACATCAGCTGCTAAAACTACCAACAACTGTTGGTAGCCCAACCTCAGTCAGTTTTTTTTAGTATTGGACATAGTGGGGAAGGTATAGAACGTCTGTCAGGTTTCTGTATGAGGTTTGATGAGGTTTGTGCCTCCTGTGGGCAGATTTACCTTTACTCAGGAGTGATAAGAAATCTCTCCAGTGGGGAGACTTAGTGCAAAAAAACCAAGCAACGTGGTTTCAATAAAATGTTTAAGGGTTATAACATATTATTACAACTGTTTCTTTTGCTCTCCAGGTAACAACTGTTCTGGTCATTTGTTTTTTGCTGTTACGGGGACAGAAAGTGAAGTGAAATCGACCTAGTGGTGTAACAGACAGCAGAAAAAAACATGACAGATGACCTACTCTTTTATGTTTATCCAAAACTGAGAGAAAAGTTTTGGCTGGAGTTAAGCAATAAACAGAAACAAATCTTGATTTTCAGCAGTTTCTCTTTCTACCATCACTAAATCCCCAGCCAAAGATTTCCAGCAGTATAATACAAAACTTCTATGAGAATATAGTTTTACATCATTCCTATGCTTGTCATAAGACCTGTTCACACTTGTAGTGTGCAAGGCATTTTTAGTTCATTGCCATAGGGCAGCCCAATCACTTGAATAGACCTACCTACCGCATCTAAATTACACTAAAATAAGTGCATGAGCTTTTTCTTCAAATGAGTTATCATGTGTTGTAAACACATGCAATGGTTAGGTGCGTTGGTGTGTTATTAAGAAACAATGACACTACAGCATACCTAACAGTGTGATATGTGATCTTGTGCGATGTGGGAATACGTGCAGGAATGCGTTCCCACATTGCATAGATCTGAATGAGGCCTTAGTTAGCCATGAGCATACAGCTTATGTTATATAATTCATTCCACACAATCATAGGGCATCAGTAAATCTTACATCGGATACTGCTTTGTAAACTGTAATGCTGGATACTGCTTTGTAAACTGTAATGCTGCTACGCCCTTTTTTTTTCCCTATGAATGCGCATGTTTTCACTTTCAGCTTATAAAGGTAAACTGAAGCAACCAGGAAGCAAATCAGTTTAACAATGCATTAGGATTTAAGTTCACACCATGTACAGGTTGTTGAAATAATCTCTAGATTCAAAACAAACTGTGTTATGCAATGGCCCAAGAGAAGAGTATGTTAAATTGTTTAATTTGTTCCAGTGAAAACAAGACTGAATGGGGTCTGAAACTGAAGATGTAGAAAACCTCCAAAGTTAAGCAATAGAGCAGAGATTCCTAACATGTATACAATAACAGACTCCCCAGTGGACTATGTAATATGTCCCCATACCTGCTTTGCCAGACTGTCCAAATCATAATCACCAGTCCTACTGGGTACCAGTATGACTTCAAAAGATGTCATTAGCTTGGTTTTTCTTTAGAAACAGACTTCAGAAAATAACCCCCAATAGCACTTACAATACATTTCCTTATGAAGCTTTTGTGAATGATCATTGAATTTACAATTTCAAATTTGCCCAGGGCATCTAGAGTTGTTAACGTCTATAACCATCTGTTCCACATGCCAATAGAGAAGCTATCCTGGGACCCAAACACAATATATACCTATGCCTTCTTTATTAATTTGTAGCCGAAGGCGGTAGTCTAAAATAAATGTAGGCTCACTCAGGTTTAAGGAGACCCAGGGTGCTGTGGCCATTATTAAAAGGTTAGAGGGTGTCTGCACCTGTTTCAGGCCCCCACTTTACTCACTTTGAAGTGAAAAATGAAGACATTTTTATCATTAAAATCGAAGTCCATCCCAAACAGATATTCTAGCTTAAAGTGGATGTTGGTTTGTAGAATTACCTACTTTAGTGTTGATTACTAAAATGACTGAGTAGATAGAAATATGGGTGTATTCATTGATGGCTTGCTTTTACATTTGCTGGCTACAGGACTGTCATCCTTAACCTGATTTATCTACCTAATGATTTACTGACCTTGAACAAGA